GAAGATCAGCTTTGGAGCAGAGAGTAGGGGGGCTCTGTGGCCCTAAAATTTTTCCAGGCTCTCGGACACCTCTAGCAGCTGCTTCTATGGGATCCCAGAGATGGAGAGTGAGTCTCCAACTGTGAGATCACATTTGTCACATGGTCCTTGGCCCAGCTGAAAAGCATAGTTGCAGAGGTCCCATCCAACAGGTTGTGTGTGAGTGTGTGAGTGTGTGTGGTCTCCAATGTTTGATGGGTTCATACATTCACATTTGGTTACCTAATCCAGGAAGGAATGTTTTTGGTTTGCAGTTTAATTGAAAAAGGTATTTGGAAAAGATTAAAAGTGAAAGGCCATTTTGGCAGTTAAGTGAAGATGATTTTTTCCCCCATGAAATACTGGCAGGAGGGACACAGCACCAACGGTGCTCGCTCCTCCAGAAGTGGGGAGGAATTCCAAAGGCATCATGAGATTTTGTGTAGTTGATGAGCCTGATGTTATTTAGTGAAAAGTTTCTCTGGACCATGATGGGCAGCTATAGAAGAGGTGAACTGAGTAGCTCCAGCTCTTGGCGCCTACATGGGAGTTGATACGTACACTCACGGTCCAATAGGAAAAACAGGGCACGGCTGTTTAATATTAACAGGGAACAATTTTGTTTGCTTGGTTTTTATGTGACTTGAGTTGATTGGGGTTTGATGAGGAAAAGAGATGGATGAAAGGAGAAGCAAGTAGGTGAACTGTCCAAGTCACAGGACACACACACACACACACACACACACACACACACACACTCACTCACATGCATACCTACACACACCATGTTAACCCTTATGCAAGGGAGGGGAAGTAAATGTCACCTTTTGAAGTGACAAATACTGAAGATTTTATGGTCATTTTTTTTCTAAACCACCATACCATCTAACTTTTATCCCCACATCTGTCCCAGTATAAAGAGAAACAAACACATGTTTATGGATATGAAAAATGAGCTCAGGAAACCTGATTTTCTACCATGTGACTTTGGGAGTCTTCTTCCATAGGGTGAGGAATTTGGATGGAAAGCCTCTGAAAAGCTTTCCCTTGACTCCTGTGGTCTGTAGCGCTATCCAGTTAGGGCAGGGCATTGGTGTTTTTAACCTCCCCTTTAGTGATAGCTGGCACAATGACTTACTTTTAGTGAATAAAGCCTATGAAAGAAAGAAGAGAAAAGAAGGTAGCTCCTGACTGAAACTGAGCTTATTACAGAGCCAAGAAGAGGCAATCAGGGTCACTAAAGGACATTCCACTTGCTACTACATATTTCACTGGCTTTTGTCTTTGGTGCAGACAAGCAGTAGAAAGAACATGACCATTTTCAGGATGTAGAAGCCCAAGGGTTTGACTCAGAAAACCAGAAATAGAATAAGTTTTGGGAAACAGCAGTTGTGTTGAAATGGACAAATTGGTCTTCAGAATGAAGTTGGGGAAAGTATTCTGGCAGTGTCCTCTCTGGGCAAGAACAATGCAGAACAGGGCTTATGGTGCCTGTCCAAGAGATCTGAAAAGCTACTGAGACATTTCCAAAGCTTTGACTGTTCTCTGAGTTTTTCTTCTCTGCTGGCAGTTCAGTGAGTAAAGGCTATGTCTCAAGAGAAGCCAACTCTGTGGAGGCCACCAGGCTTTACAGCAGCAGATTTTAAGCATTTTTGCTTTCAAAATTCAGACAAGGAATAAACATGTTATGGTGGAGAGAATAGAGTATCTTAGTGGTAAGCTTCTGGTTAGGCTGTGTTCTCGTTCCCCTTCTTCTCTAAGCCTCCATTTCTTATTCTGGGACATACAGTTGTTGTGAGGATGAGAGATGAAACCAAATTACCCCCCTCTCCCCATTCACCTGAAAGTCATCCTCGGCTGTGCTCATCAGGAGCAAGTCAGGGTCAGCTACATTCACAGGAGAGTTCTCCTTTTCTTATATGCAATCAAAATAAAGGTGGGTGGCACCTCCAGAAAAACAGTGTGAATCTTGGAGTGGTGACATGCTGCTTAGGTCCTTAAGAAGATGAAACGTGAAAAGGTTATTATGGTTGTTTCCCCTGACCCCATTCTATGTGGTAGTGTTTCTGTCTGCACTTATCATCGTAAGAATTGCAAGAATTATTCACAGACACTAGTTTATAGTTATCAAGAAACTGCCTTTTGGTTTTGAAAAGATTGAGATGAGGGTAGCAATAATTCATGACTTAGAAGTGTGCTTGCCAATGTTATCATTGGTACCATTATCAGTGAAAGAAATTGACTTGAAAACAAACAAAAAATTCAAGCAAAATGATTTCATGCTTGGTATTGATGGTTGGTGGTATGGACTAAATGTTTATTTTTCCCCATAATTCATATGTTGAAATCTAATTCCTACTGTAATGTGAGGTGAGACCCTCAAGAGATCATTAGGTCACGAGGTAGAATTTTCATTACAGGAAGTTAGTATGCTTATAAAAGAAATCTTTGATTCATCCTCATATGAAGACAGATCCAAAGGAAGCATATACGAATCAGAAAATAGTCATACACCAAAGGCACCTGCTGGTGCCTAGATCTGGGATTTCCTAGACTCTAGAATTTGAAGAGATAAATTTTTGTTGTTTATAAACTACCTACTTTATTGTGTTATGACAGCCCCAGTCATCTAAGACAATTAGAAGATATATCGAATTCCACATTCAATTGTATTGATTACCAAGCAAGCAGGAAGCGTGAAATAGTTTCCAAGAAGCCTTGAGTTCTTGAACCACAGGAAGAAAGGCATCAATTGTTGCCTTCATTGACATATTTCTGCTTTTCTGTCAAGTTGTCATTCTGGCTTGCATTTGTGAGCCAAGTGGTTTGGGTGTGAGTAGGGCTAGTGGAGGAAGACCAGAACCATATTCATCTAGAAAAGAAAAAAAAAGCCCCTACCAAACTAAACCATGGGCACTCAGCATGAGCAAAACCAAAAAAAAAAAAAAAAAAAAAAAAAAAAAAAAAAAAAACCAAAAACAAAAGCAAAAGCAAAAACCAAGAAACAACCCTCTCCTTCCAAACACATGTTCTTTTGCTGTGGAATAGTGCTCTTTCAAATGCAAAGCAAGATTTACTTTTAAAACCCAGGAACAAAGATCCCATTTGTCTATATAATCAAATCTAGATATGGTTCTTGAAGTGAGACATTTGAAGATCTTTGCAATACTACTCATCATTACCCAGCTCTCAATACTACCACTCCTTAGTCAAGTCACACTTGGGTTTGGTGACTTGAACATGTCATGTCCCATCATCTTTACAAATTTGTTGAAGTTGTAGTCTCCATGTGGAAGTGTCTATTTTTTCCTGCTTATTCATACATGTACCTGCATGCAGGTTCACACACACACACACACACACACATCTCTTGAGGCTGGGGAGCCTTCTTGTCTGGTGACAGACATCCTTTAAGATCTGGCATAGTCTGGTAGCAAACATTCAAGTTCAGGGGAGCTAATTTTGTTCTATGTCCCATTGTCCTTAAATTAAGACCCTTCTTTCTCTCTCAGAAACAATATCATTTTCATCAGATAAAGTCTATTAAATGTTTATGGGATTTATAGATAAAATAATTAATTTAAATGAATGCATTTTGTATAACTTGAGCCAGATATTTCCTTGCATTTGTTTCTGATTTATGTGAATGTGTGTTTTTGAAAAAGAAAGGCGTTGTGTGGATGTGTCATGATACATGTGTTGTTTTGTGCTCTGCTGAGATATATTCCATTTTATTCTTTGTAGTGGAGAGAAACTGATAGTTCATTCAGAGATGAGTTTCTAATAAGTGAGAGTTCTGGAAGGGAGATCTGTTAGGAAATGTACAAGGACTATGAAACTTTATTAGTTCATAAAGTACATTTTGTACTTTTTAAGGGGAGTGAGACAGATGTTTGATTCAATTCAAGAGGCATTTTCCTGAGATCTGTGTGAACCACATGGCTGGTATGATTTTGCATAGCTTTCTTTGTTACCCATGATGAATTCAGAGAGCTCTTAAGGTCAAGGCCTGTATGAGCAGGCATAGCCCATAGGCAGATGAAAAGTAGTTTTTACTCACCTTGGTGTGAAGGGTTCCATCAATGCACCCGGACCATCACACACAAGATGTGGTCCAGAATGAAGAATGAGGTTTTGGGACACTGGTCTGTGAAAGTTAGGACATGTAGCTGAATTTTCTGGCTACCCCTATTGGGTCTTTCTGCTAGTTAGAATCCCATATTAGGAAGGCTCTTTTTATCTCTTAAAAACAAAAAGGAAACTTGATTTTGAGATAAACTATTTACCATTATTCAAGAAACATTTATGCATCCAATGTGGAGTAGGCACTGTGCTATATTTAAAGATGAACAAGAAGAAAGCTTTATTCTCAGAAGTATGTGACTAATGTTGTCTGGTGGAGTTAAGAAAGGATTATACAGGTAGAGGCATTTGAGTTGGGTCTTGAAGGATATGTAGTGTTTTACCATTTTCAGCCTTACTGATCTAGGCAAAAGGTTTCTTGTTGCATTGCAGATAAAATAAACTGATATACCAGAATCTCACTTATCTGACAGAGTCAAAATAAGATTTATTGGGTAATTCCAATTCAGTAATCAAATATAATCCCCTCTCTTTATTACAAGAAAATACTGATAGGATGCGATATTTGATTTTCCATGCAAGAATTACCCCAAAAGGAACAAAAAACAACTCTTAAGAAATTTCATGATGCATTAAAAAGTTGTCAGGAGAATATTTCATGATACAGGTGGTCTCTGCTTTGTACGGTTCTAATACCACTGGGTTCAGTTACTTCTGCTTTCTCAAATAATACTGTTCCCTGACAACTGGTTCAAACTTTAGTGACCATAGCATGTTAACCACGAAGAACTGATGCTGTCTCATCAGCTCATGAATCACTATGCAAGTAGCAGATACACTCTGTGATCAACTATGTAGCCTCTTTGTCACTAATAATGCGTTCTTGCGACATTCTGCAGAAACGGATCATTGAAAAAGGGAATTGGCACGCAAAGACAAAAATGCAACAAAAATAGCATTTGATAAACCCGGAAGTGGAACTTGAATGCAGCCAGGGAACTTTCTGAAGATGAACTTACGACGTAAAGGAGGAACGTAGTTGTGACGAAAAGGATGAAACTATCCCAGCGGAGATGACGCCAGTGAAAAGAAGAAAACACTGTGCTAGAGGAATTCTTAGAGCTGTTTCACAATACTGAAAGCACAAAGGAAAATATGTTGGGAATGGACTGAAATTTAGAAGGAGAATTGGCCAAGGCATAGAAAAGATGCTCTCCCCATGGTTGCACTCTGAGAAAAAGAAAGGTAACCCTTGTTTAGCCTACTCTTAAGTTTTTCAACAAACAAATAAAACATTTTAATTCTTGATGTTTCTAAATTTTAAGTTTTCTCCCTGAATGAATACTAGCTTTATTATTTTTTTGTTTATTTATAGCCAACAGCTAGAAAGTTTAAAAAATTTTTAGGACTGAGGAGAGTAACAGTAGTTTTCTTCATTGACGATTCTGATGACTTTGCACAATGTGGATGCACAGAGTCACATTTATGGCCCCAGGCTGTTGTGCAAAGCAGAGACTTCCTCTATTTTGAAAAGACCAAGGACACTAAAAGCCAGGGAAAGCCCATGTAGGAAAATATATACACCTGTTTCTATTTCCATTCCTAAAACAGAGACTCTAGCTGTTTATACAGGGTGCTTTACCTTCACATTTTAGAACTCTTGTGTTTTGTAGTGGAGGGGACATTTCCTAGACGTAATACTAATTTACAAATTTTTCTCAACAAACTGTTTTTTGGGTCTGTTCTCCAGTATGCTAGAAACATTCACCTACTCTGCAATATGCATTTTCATTGTGTGTACTTCTGGTGTGACTCTGCCATGGTATCATACTTGGCTTTTCTCTATGAATTTCCAATATTGAACATTGCACTGAACTGGCCCATGCTGCTGGTTCTAGGGCCCTGCCCATATGACACCCATACTGATCTTTCCCCATGGATGGTGCCACCTGTAGGGATCTAGTCCTGCTAGTTGGTTCCCTGATGTAGCATTGGATGAAGATGAAAGACGGACACAGAGTTGTTTTAGTCTATGAGGAACCAGCGGCTCCTGCTTCTCATGAGCAGAGGAGCCTCAACCACCTGGATCAGCCTGCTTCTATTCACTCAGACATGGGAATAGGCAATTAAAGTAACACAAGCTTCACCTGCCTTCTGTTATCCATTAGTATATGTTCAGGTAAACAGCTGGGTCTCTGCTCTGTTAACTTTTCCTTTGAGCTGTCATCAGCATCATCCTTGCATGCTGCTTTTCTCCTTTGTGCTCACTGAGGAGGCCAATTGGGCCTCATTCTCCTCTGAAAGGAGAATGACTACTGTGGCAGACTGTCCACAAGCAGATGTACCCTGAGGTGCTGTGCATTGGTTCTGCTACCTGGATCCCTCGACTTACCTACTTTCCATTCTTTCTAATCTGTATTTCTCCCATTTTCCCTTTAATTTTCCAATCTAGCTTGTATTCTTCCAATGGATTTCTATTATTTTGCTCAAATTTTTTAGAATTTCCTTTGATTAGAAATGTAACCTGTGCTTGGTCTCAAATTACACCAATTGAAAAAGCTAAAGACAAATTGTAAGCCCTTCATGTAAAAGAACAATCACGTATTTCTAACAAATCACAGGTGAAGAAAATATCAGACTTGCTTCAACTCAGTGAATGTCTCTCTTCCTTCAGATGGAGAATTTTTCTGGGGCAAGAGCCCCAAACTTACAAAAAGTAACATGACATAGAGTATACTATGACAGTGTACTAGCAAATGAGCCTGCTTTTCACTCAAAGTTCAAGCGAGTTCAGAAGGAATATCCTAGCACAGGTTTCATTTAGTCATTAAATCATTTGTTGAAGTCACACAAATCCATGACTTTTTTGAATTCCTATTGTAGTGACTGAAAATGTAAGTAGAACTTGAAATTATTGGGTATAAATAAAATAAAACATAGATGAAGTAGATAAAGTAAATTTGACTTGAGATTTTGACGTTTTGCCTCAAAAAAATCTAATCCAAACTTTCAGAAGTGCTAAATTCTTTTCACATTGCTGGCTTTTCCATTTATTTTCCTTTTATCAGTCATGGCCAAAATTGGAAGACAAGCACGTCTAGCTTAGATGCATTTCGAATCACACCAAGAGAATGAAGAATGTCTGGTGCCGGGAGCTTGGCAGAAGACCTTGCACACCCCAGTTGCTCAATACACATCAGATGACAGATATTTATGATCTGAAGCTGGATTTCTCAATAGGAGATGGGAGTAATTGTGTCCTAGAAGGAGGGAAGTTCTTCCTTTGTTCTCTTTCCCCAGCTCCTAGGATGAAGGGAAAATGACTATGGAAACTATTATCAAGAATGCATTTCCTGGCTCATTTTATAAGATTAAATAGAAAAGATAGGCCTCTTTTATTTTGGGGATGCATTCTAAAATCTTTAACCGTTTTGACCAGTTAGCCACTATTATCTAAGGGAAGGTTAAATACAAGCAACTTGTCTTTTTCTGAAATTGCCAATCAAACTTGATTATGAATTCCTCAAAATATGTATTTTGACAACAACCCATTTTTCCACTTGTTGAATCATGCTCTTTACACACTACTTAGTAGAAACCATGAAGTCTGAAGCAAAACGCTTAAAATGGCAAATTAGTGACCACTTAGAATTGAGTTCTGAATCTGCCAGTAATTGAATGTTGGACATTAGATCTATTCTTTATCTGATCTGTACTTTAAGAACCCATTGTTTTGAATGGATATAAAGAAAGCCAATCTTACTCTCCTAATGAACTTTTGAAGATCATATGAAATAATAGATATGAAAATGCTTTGATAAAGTACAAATAAATGTAAGATGTTATTTTTCTTATAACTTAGTGCTCTCTATGTTCAAAGAAATAGAGATTTTTTTTTTCTTTTCAAGGGAAGCAATTTAAATAATGTGACAGAATTTTCTAAATTCAGGGTGCCCAGACAAAATGGCTTTTACTATAAAAGAAAATTAAGTCTGGATGGAGTTTGTTATAGAAATCCTCAAAGAAGCTCTGGTTTCCTGGAATAAACTGAAATTTCTGAGATTTTTAGCTTATGTTAAGGCTGCAAAAATAAAAGAGTGAAAATTAAGTTCTCAGTTCATTTGGTGGAACTTTGGAAGTTTTGGTCTCATGTTGTAAAGTAATCAAATCCACTGGAATATTTATAATATTTCTCTTTGCTTTTTTCTGATTCTTCCACCTGAATTTCCCTTAAGGTTTTGGGCACTGCAAAAGGGATTATCTGGTGGATCTATTTAGACTGGATGGTTAGATTTTTGTGATGTTGAGCTAGTTTTCTGATTTTAAAGCAAATTATTTCCCCACACATAATATTCCTTATTGACTTGTGGAAGCTCTTTGGAGCTTATTGATATTTATGTTTTATCTGTCTGGTGTGTTGCAAATATTTTCTCTTACATTGTGCATTTGTTATTTTGCTTTTGCACATGTGCATACGTCTTCTCAGGAAGAAGTTTTAGACAAATCTACCAGTTTTTTCTTTTTAGTGTTTCTGAAATTGAGTCACACTTAGAAAAGTCTTTTCCTTTTCAAAACTATATTTTAAAACATACTATCATTTTCATTCGGCCATTATGGTTTAACATTTATGCATTTAATCTATCTAGCATTTGAGTATCAGTTGGGTATGGAGGGAATGTAGCTTCAGAGTGGCCCAGATTCTGTCAGCCTGGTGTGTCTCAGACCCAGCCATTACTGCCACCTCGGCTGCATGAAGGTGTTTATGCCACCTGCCATGCTCACATTTGAAGCCTGTCTCTTTTGCTCTTTTATGCCCAAATTAGGAACAGAGCACAAACAGTGGCTCTAGCTCTGCAGGCTTGGACATGGACATAGCTCAGAAAAACAGAGAGATAACCCTCATGGAGTGAATAGCCCATGGGAAAAGGGGGAGACAGAAGGAACTCATTGTGTGTGTTGTCCAGTGGGCTGCCTCTTACGGAGCGGGTCCGTGAAGCTCTGTCTGACTGTGTGCCCGGCTGACTATTCACGAAGCACTAGCCAGCTCCCTCTCACCACCCTGTATCAGCTTCCCACCTTTCCTTACCTCACTTCTGTCCTTGACTCTTAATGTCCTTGAGTTGTACTTTCCAATAGAGATGGACACTTCAATCCTGTTTCAGGTTCTGTTTTTAGAGTACCCAAGAAAAGACCAGAAGTGATCCAAACCTGACTTTATCCAAATGGATAGCACTTCATCATCAAAAATTTGAATTGTTTATTCTTCCTTATATGTATGTCTGGTTCTACCTCTGGGCTCTATTCTGTTCCACTGATTTGTGCTTTTCTGCGTTGCTATCCACTTCCAATTTTTATAGACTCAGGGTTTACTACCTAGTAGGTGCTAAATAATTCTCAAAGATGACATTAGCTTCTTCCCTTCACTCATGTTCTGCTCTCACATCTGCTTTGACTTTTAGTCTCACTTTTATTATTCAGCACACAATCAGTCACCTGTCCCTCTGATCCACTGCCTGCATTTCAGCCAGCCTCATCTTTTAAATCTCCTAATACAAAATTCTTTGTGATTTGGTCTGTAACATGGAAAAGAGCAGCTAGAAACTCCCTAATGATCCCTTCTTTTCTTTCACAGTGTTAAAAACTCTGACTTTTCACTGGGCCTCTGATCTCCAGAATGGCAATCTCATGTCTTAGAATATAGGTTTAGATATGCTGCAAAGTTTTGTTTACTCGTTACCAACAGAAATAAGAGCTGGAAATTCCTAATAAACTTCTTAAGAGCGAGCTCGAGGTGCAGCCTGTCTCTGCCTCTTCTTCATGCTTTTCTCCGCCTGCTGCCTGGAGTGGACCAGATGCCATTTTGGATCGTAAGGTTAGGGCCTTGGAAGTACAGTAAGAAAGCAAGAGAGACCTGGATCTCTGGTTGTGAAGAACCAGACGGTCCTGGTTCTTTTACAATGATGCATACATTAACCTTTGTACTTTTAAAGACACTGTAATTTAGGGCTTTCTGCTATTTCTAACTTGAGTCTAAGCTAATAGGTTTTTGAAATGAGATGAACAATGCAGGGAAGAAGGAGCTGATAATACAGGTTGTTTTTCTCCTAAGTCTGTTTAGAAATTGGAGCACTTTTAAGAAGCTTGTAGGTTGGTCTAATACAATTCTTGTGGACTTTGAGCAAATCATTATGAAATCACAGTTCACCTTCTAGCCCAGAAGCTTACAATCTGGACTGTCACCCCGT